CTGTGGCAACGGGCCCCCGGGACAGCTTCTCCCCTGGGGTGGGGGGGCCCCTTGCCACCGCCCTTGGGGCCCCAGAGCCGGCATGTCTGAGCGTGGCGGGGGGTGTGGTGCTGGGCCGCGGGGGCCTCGGCTCCTCCGTTCCCTGGGGGAGCAGCTGTGGGAGCTGAAGGGAGAAGGGTGTACGTGCGTCGGGTGGGTGGAGGTGAAGGGATGTTCCCGCTAAATATCCGCGTGGAAGTGTCTGGCACTGAAGAGCTGTGCGGTGATGGGCTCGCTGTTAAAACTGGCGTTCTTTGTCTGTTAGTTCAGCCGTAAGGCCTGGTAGCGCTCTCTTCCCCACCAAACCTGTGTGGCAGAGCTGCAAGAAAAGGAAAAGAAAAACCAGGTAGAGCAGGTGCTAAGGAATCTGTGAGAGAGCTGCTGTTGTACTCCAGAGTGTGATAACCGAGGACTGTTGGCTCAATCTGCCTCCTGAATCACTTCCAGTGTGCGCTGGGGGTTCAAGATGCAACAGGCAAGAAGAGGCAAACAGACCATTTGGGGTTTTTGGCAACTCCTACATGACACTCCAGCTCACGTGAATCTTGCTACAGCATAGTTGCTATCAGGAATTTTTGCTGTTTTGAAGCATCTCAGTTATTGTCACCAACGTGCAAAGCATCTCCGTGGGAGTTCTGATGAGCCTGGCTGTGTAATACTGAGGGGGTTCATTTCACCTGAAGTTGGACTTCATTTGTAAACGTTGAATGCCCTGTGCGTATATATCGGCGTGTTTCAGAGGAGCTCTGCACATAGCTGGCTACAGACTTGTTCTAGGTATGCTTGCAGGGAAGTTAGTGACAAACAAACCAATAGGAAAATAGGGATGATAAGTGAGAGCTGAAGAGGGAGTATGAATTGAAAACCATCCTGTTTTATTGTGGCAGTAGAGCTGGGAAGGAAAAGATAGGCTCCAGCAATCCAGGGACATGCACTCTTACATACTCTACCAAATCCAGGAAAGTGTAGCAAAATTTCACACTTTAGGGGTAAAAAGTTGATCTCTCCAGCATACTGAGGAGAAATTCTGCTCTTCATGGTTGTGATTTGTCTACTTTTTGGTTATGTTAATTTTGGATCAGAATGCTATATACAATTTTACCAGATAATTTGTAAACTGAAAGGAGTTTATGTGTGATTTAACTCTGACCGGCAATAAAATACCATGAAGCTGTTCACATCTCCCCTCCTCCTCCAACAGAAGGGGAGAATGTGAGAAAAAAGACAAGGAAGCTTGTAAAATTGAGATAACTATTTACTAACTGAATATAAATGAATAATATATACAAATATGACAATACTACTACTAATAAGTAATTAAAATAATAGAAAATAGAACATATAATGCAATTGCTCACCTCCTGCTGACTGATGCGTAGCCGGGTTCCAAGTCATGAGAGTCAGAGTGCTCAAGAGCGGGAGCCCAAGAACAATCACAGCAGAGTCTGAGCTCCACAAGTGACAGCACAACTGGGAAAGCCAACCAACCCACTAACGAACGAGTAAGCAAAGGAATTAGCGAAGCAGCTAATGAAGGAATTAGCGAAGGAACTAACAGAAGAGTTAGAAGAGGGTTAAGGAAAGACACAGAGTGATGGTCCCCAAGCCCACTGCCCACTTATGTACCGAGCATGAGGTTTATGGAATGAAATCCTTCTTTGGTTGGCTGTCTGAACTGTGTACCCTACACTGCCTGTAGTGAGAGAGTTGGGAACGCAGCTGCAGTATCAGAAGCTGAGAAAAACCTTGAGTTTGGTGCAGGCACTCCCCAGCACCAGCTAAAAAGACACCTCAGTACTTTTCTCAGCAGTGTAAATCCAGGAACAGAGCTTCATACCAGCCACTGTGAAGAAAGTTAACTCTTTCTTGACTAAAACCAGCACATTGTGTTAATTTTTATTTGTGAACTTTTTCTTCCCCTTTTTAATGAAAGAATGGACTTCTGATACACTTGTCTGTGCATCTTCAGAGTATATTGTCTGACGTCTTGGGGGGCAGGCAGCTCTAAATTATTTCCTCTGAAGTTACTCTGTCACGTCATGCAGGATCCCTCTAAAATCTGTAAGTCATGAAAACTGATTTTTCTGTTCTTGCAGTGAACTGGCTCTCTGTTCTTCGGCACTTGGAGGTTGATCTATTTTCTTGCTTCTTCATAATGAGGGATTGGAACCCACGTGACAAATGAGTAGAATTCTCCAGTCTCGGCTGGGAGTCTGAAAAGATGAATCAAAGACAGAATTCTAAGACCCCAAAGCAGCCTCTGCATATTCCCCATAAAAAACAAATGGATCTCTCTGCATGGCGAAAAGGGGAGAGAACTCACCCTGAAAAAAGTGTCCAGAATCATCAATCTATTAACAAGCAGAAAAGTGACAGCCAGCAAGACTCCCTGGAGCAAACTTTGAGCTACTTTAAGACAGGTAAGAACAGTTCAAGGTTAGCTACCTAGTATTGGACAGATAACTAAATTCTTAATAGCAGTAGTAAATTTTACCTGCTGTCTTCCCTCTTTAATGCCTGAGCTTTGTAATATCTTTAATGTCTTAAAAGGTTTTCCCTTTTCTGACCCAACAAGAAGGAGTGTATGTAGGGACAGTTCAGTGAAGCTTAAAATAGTTCATGTTCAGTTCAGAAGTTTTTTCATCCTTGTGTGTGTTTGTCTCTTTGTTTTTTCCTAGTTCAAGACCGAGTTTCACTGAAAAAGAGTGAGGTTCTGCAGAAACACTTGATGACCGTGGAAAGCATTGCCCTGCAAAAAGGATTACCCCCGGAAGGATTCGATGTGTTGCTGAACGTGGCACTCAGTGGCAAACTTGGTAAAATGTTGATATGCTGCTAGTGTCTTCTGTGGATGTCTCTTTCCCCTTCAATCAAACCTGCTTGAGATAATGTTCTTATGGGACTGTCCTGTTAGTGTAAAATTAATCTTTCTGGCACTCTTCGGTGTAATTTCTGAATTCATGCTAAAAATAACTTCAGTTTTTGCTGCAGGGGGGTGATACCTGGAGAAAATACTATGGCTTGTTACGAATATATTTTGAAAAGTATTTCCTTTGTTTATAATTACAGGTTTCTGAAAGGCTTTGTGTCCTTAACAACTGTTGTGTCTTTTCCTTGCTGTAACTGCTTGTATAGGTTGCTTTTTCCCAAGATCAAAACAATTAAACTGACATAGTTGTGTTAGTGGTGCTTGCTAAAATTAAAATGATGTCCTAACAATTCAGCAGTGTCAGTGCAGCCCTCATTCTGGTTTCTTAGAAATGGTAACCACCATTTATACTTCTAAATAATGAAATATTCAATGAAAAAAACACCCTCTAAACTTCCCCTGCCTCCAACCCGAGAGGAGCCCACAGGATTCTTTCCCCATCACGCAAATAGATTGCTGCTCTCGATTTAAAATGACTAGCTTATCTCCAGAACACCAATCTGCTGATGTTTGGCTTGACAGTGATACACCCTTTTGCTGAAGGAATTGGTTGCTTAATACCAGAAACCTGTTACTTTTGGTTGTCTTGCCAGGAGTCTAAAGGCTATTTCAGTACTAAAATACTTGATGCTCCAGTTTCTTTAAGCTGGAAATAAATATTTCTCGGTTTTTGAAGTATAGGCAAGGCCCTGTTAGATTCTTGTGCACTGTTACTTTAAGCAATGAAGCTCTGAATTCTGTCTAGAGAGAATTTTGACCTAAGCTGCAAAACTATCAAAGAACCCTGTCAATGAGCACCATCTGACTTTACATTGTTTGTTTTCCAGCTGATACGGTGAATACTCGTTTACTGAAGAGCCTGATTCCCGCCTCAGTAATACCAGAAAATGCTGTGATTTCAGCCATATCTTGGCTCTGTGCTGACAAATGCTCAGACAGCACCCAGGTAACTTAGTAAATGCTTACAGTAGTTATTGTTTCTGCACAGGAATGATGAGGACAGATCTTTCAGGAAGCAAAAATCCTGGGGTTTTAATGTACATAAAATACTTATGGCTCTTACCTAAGATGCTGTCATTTAGAAAGATCAGCAGAGACATCCGTTGCTGGAACAGCAGTGGGAACCAAGGAACACTTAAGTGAGTGGAAATTTGCACAGTTCCTGCTTGTCTCACATCCCTGAATTCATTAGGAGTGGTTTCTCCACCAACAGTTCTGTGGAAAAACGTCAGCAAGGTATCCTCTAGGTTCTGTGTACCTTGGCCATGGCAGTGTGACTTAACATTGGCAAGAGTCTTTCGCCTTCACGTGGTCTGCTTGAAGGTTTACATCATGGAATTGTTCCCTCCTCTGGACACGCTCCAGCCCCTCCGTGTCTGTCTTGTAGTGGGGTGACCCTCAGATCATATCTGAGGGTTAGCACATTCAAAGCTGAGCTACTTTTTCCATTCTGATACAGCAGTTGGTGCTCTTGGCAGGCTTTCTTCCACAACTGAATTATCCTTGTACTGTTCACTGTAGCTGTCTCCTTGTCCTTGAGTGGCACGTATCCTTAATGACTGTGTCCCTTAAACTGTGTTGTGACTGGTCTGTCTGGCTTTTGCCCAGCACTTAATGTGTGTTTTCCTATCCACAGCTGCTTTTTTTAAGATGGCTGATCACAATGTTTGACTTCATTGATCAGAAGGAACAACTTCGTGCCCTCTATGGTTTATTCTTTTTCTTCCTGCGTGATGAGAGGATGGTAAGGAGAGCTGAAGAATATCTGGAATTGGCAAAACAAACCTGAATGTTCATCAGGAGTGTGCATGTTAATGCTAGAATTAGCCTGCAGTAGCTGTTGGCCATTGTCTGATGTTTGGTGTTTGTTTTTTTCATTTTGCATTCCAAGATTTCTGGGTAATTTGCATTAAGAAACAAGGAGTACTGGAGGATTATTTTGCTTTTGATACTGTGGTCTGGTTGTTTACACATGTTTCTAAGAGTTGCTCTTTTGCATCACAGACAGAGTGACAGTATAGTCTGTCTAAGTTCCCAAGAGTAACTGATGCTGCAGTCTTTGGGATTGCCTTTGATGTCAGACATCAGCAGTTGAAGTCTCACACTCCTAGGGAGAAACTCAACTTGCATATGTTGGGCAAACAGAAAAAACCTTTTAGAGCAATGCTTATTTGAAGGTGAAAACCTCTAAATGCCGTTCTACTTAATTGATTTGAAATGTAGCTTAAATGAGAACAAGCAACTGGGAGACTTCTGCTACACAGTAACTGTAAAATCCAGGTGCTGGAATACTGAAGTGCTTGGATTCAGTTCATATTAAGATGATCTTGGCAGTCATGTTAGATATGAAATTGTTAATATTCTCTCCGTTTAGGATTAAAAGTTTAAGAATCTTAAAGTTTCCCAAATTCTGAGTTACATTTTTGCAAAGTGTTATGATTTTAGTTTAACATTAATTAGAATCTTTCTCTAAAACTGGATTGAAGTTCTTACTGTTCAAAATAGCTTTTCAGGCATGATGGGCCAATTGGAAAGTGCAGCAGAGCCGGTGTGAAGCTAATTTAAGACACTTACAGCCTCAATTGTAGTTAAAGCTCTAAAAAATTATTTTGATTCCAAGGTGCCTTTCTTTTTGAAAATGTAATTGGACTTTGCCTGCTGACTCCTGAAACATCTAGATCATGGTCCAAAAAGCAAGATCCAAGCTCATGGAACAGCTTGATCGCTATAGGGGCTGCTCGTAGTGCAGATAAACTTCCTAAGTAAAATTGACACGTGACGTGAAAAAAACCATGCTGCTTCCGAAGGGAGGCACGGTAAGCGCTGCCCCGATGGAGCGTGGGGATGATTTGAGGCAGCCAGCTGAATGAAACTATTAGCTTGTGAAGCCTGTGTGTTGCTTTTAGTGTCTCCTGGTTAGCGGTATGCACTGGTGGGATAGCTCATTGCTGTCTTTTTCTTTGCAGTGCCCCTATATCTGCCACCTGCTCTACCTGCTGACCAGGAAAGAAAATGGTGAGTCTATCCAGTTTTAGGAGATGAAATACCGTTTTGTTCCTTCTTCTGCTTGCTGGCTCTGCCATTTCCAGTGGAGCTAATGCAATGATTAGCCAATATATTGCTTTTTAAGGCCAGAAACCATGAGTGGTAGTTCAGTCTGATTGGTGTAATGCTTTCTGAATTGGAAAACTGTCTATTAGCCTAGAAGTAAGACTGACTGGTTCTGCTGGCTTTGCCATGACTTTCTGTAATAAAAGTGATATTTGTGTTTTTGCTTAAACGTCTGATACAGTGGTTTTTAAATCCCTTATGTTCTTAATCTTATTTCCAGTCAAGCCTTTTCGGGTTAGGAAGCTACTTGACCTCCAAGCAACAATGGTGAGTTTATTTTGAATCTTGTAGAGTTTGAACTGTGATTAATAATAAAGTTTGTAAGACTAGTGTCTCTACAGGATGGAGAAGAGTGGCTAGTGTCTCAGGAGAGGGTTAGACTTGGAATTGTCAGCTGTAGTCTTTGTAGGCAAGCCCCGATGTGGAGCTATCTTGCATGTGCATCCCTAATTTTCATTAGTGTGAGCACGTGCAATGACCTACACAAAGGTATATGTTTTATGGCTAGGTATGGTAAAATGTCTGAAGCAAGGAGCAGCTTTATTTATCTACTACTATCTTTGATTTTCTATTCCCCTTCCTTTTTCAAGTGGTATCAAAAATACTGAGAAATAAAAGATTGTAAGGATCTTGCTCCAGTGGGGTTTTTTTGTAAGAAATATACCGTAGCTGTATGCTTTTGGAGCACTTAGACATCAGAAAACTATTTTTTATAACCTGTTAAATTCCTTTTTATTACAGTTATGTCTACAGAAAGTGCCTTCTTAAATCACCTTCTTATGGTATTTCATTGACACAGTTTTTGTTCTTCCTTTCTTTTTGAGTTGTTCATCTATGGTTACTGACATGCAGCATTAGAAAGCTTTTACTAATCACTGGGGTTTTCTTTGCTTCTAGTATGCAGTACTCAGTTTCTATATTAAAAACATACCCCACAAGATTTTCTTGTTCTGCTGTTTGACAGGGAATGCAGTCTTATCTGCAGGCTCTGCTATCGCTTTACAAACTCTTCTGTCCTGAGCTGGTCACCATAACCCTTCCTGCGAAAATGAAGGTAAGGAATAAACCTATTTGGAACCAGTATTTTCAACAGTATTTATACTAAGCTTTCCACTTAAGATATAGCATGATTCAGTGGGGAAGATCAGTTCTATTTTCTCTTTTCATTGAGCAAAATCAGGTTGAGATGAGGATTACTTGCCTTGCATTTTGTTTCCTCTTCAGCACAATGAGATGATTTGGAACGGAATGGCATCTACCTTTATCCTTATGAGGATTATTTTAATCCTTCTTTTGGTATTCTTGCTGGTTTTAACTTATTTCACACAATGTAAAGTTCTTCAGGAAACACTGTCTTATTTGTACAAGGCATTGTCCGAATTGCTGACTTTCTCAAGTACAAATAAGAAGGGAAGTCAGTAAGTAACTTCCCACTTGGAAAGTATGTCATGGGAAAGAGGAGGGAGGAAAAAAGCAGAGGAAAATGTGGTAAGTTGGTTTGTTACAACCTCAAGGTAACAGTATAAAATGTGATTGAGGTGTATGTGTGTGCTCAGCCTTTGGACCAAGTAGATTATAAGTAGCAGAAAATGAATATGTAAATGTAAATATATGTAAATAGCAGTAGGTGAGACCTCAGCAAATTTTTCTTTTGGTACTTCAATGGGATAGACAAGGTTTGTCTGGGGGTTGTTTAGAAGAAACATTTAATGTATATGTAGGCAAGCTGTGTTTCTATAAAAATTAATTTTCTTCAATCTGCTTGTTGTACTTGCATTGCTCTGTGCATTTATCCTTTACACTGTGCTGCACAGTCCTCTGCTGGAGAAATTTCTGTTTTGGCACTCTCAGAAGTGAAGTAAACAGTTAGCAACTAAAACCCAAAGGCATCTTCAGCTCTTTCTACGAACACGCTGTGTTAACTTCTATGGTTACAGCTGATCACCCAAGCCAACCTGAATACTCTTGTGACGGTGTGGCGCTGGGTCAGGATTTAAAGACTGAGAGCAATTGAAGTGACAAAACGGGGTTTGTGCAGAAGAGGTGGTGGGTTTCATTTTGCCAGTTTTCTTCTTAGCTGTAGCATCTATGTTAATTTAAGAGTTCAATTGCTAATTGAATTTTTCTGTTTGGATGTTACTGATGCTGAATTCGGGAAGCTTTCCTAGTAACTTGCATAAGCATACCATGGTCATGTTTTGGTTTAGCTGAA